ACTACCTTGTTATGACTTGGATGTTTTGTCCCCTCCAAATCTCATGTTGAAAGTGGTCCCCAATGTTGGAGGTGGGGCCTGGTGTGAGGTATTTAGGTTATGGGGGTGGATTCCTCATGAGGGGCTTGGTACTTTCCCAACAGTAATGAGTTACTGTTAGACCTGGTTGTTAAAAAGAGCCTGGAATTTCCTCTTCTCTCTCTTGTTCCTTCTCCTGCCATGGGACATACTGGCTCCCCTTCACCTTCCACCATGGTTGTAAACTTCCTGAGGCCCTCACCTAGAAGCTTGCACAGCTGTGAAGCAAATAAGTCTCTTTATAACATGGTCTCAGGTACTCCTTGATAGCAATGCAGAAAAAACTAATACAGGAAATTGGGATGGAGGAATGGGGCATTGCTATAAAGATACCTGAAGATGTGGAAGCAGCTTTGGAACTGAATAACAGAGAGAGTTTGGAAGAGTTTGAAGGGCTCAGAAGAAGACAGGAACACAAAGGAAAGTTTGGAACTTTGGATGGTGGGTACAAGTTGTGGTGAGCCAAGATCATGCTATTGCACTCCAGTCTGGGTGACAAGAGCGAAACTCTGTCTCAAAAAAAAAAAAAAAAAAGAAAAGAAAAGAAATATTGTAAAGAAATGCCAGGTTCTTTTTAAAATAGTTAAGCATAAAGCTGGATTTAATGTGGAGCCAGATCTCACATACATGCCTGCACTGCTTCACACTATGTTTACTGTTTTGCATGGATAGTGCTGGCACTGGAGTACTTACTGGTCATGTGCCTAGAGTGAATTTCTTGATTGCACAGCATATATGGTGATATTGGTGGACTCAAGGACATTGAATTGTGTATCAGGAATAATATATTCATTATGTGGAGTTTTGGGGGCTCTGGGTAACACTGTGGCCTCCAGGGTAGAATGAGTATGAAACATTTAGGGTTGGTCTCCTGTTTATTTGTTTTTGTTTCTAATTTTCATTTGTTTACTGTTTATTTTCCTTTGGACCTTGCTTGTGTATGCATATATATACCACGATTTTTTTTTTTTTGTTTCTATTGAAAAGCATTTATTTGGTTCTGTGAATACTTATTTTGTTTCCTATGTGTTTCTAGAAGGTCATCATTTGTTCCATTTATCTGGAATTCCTAGGCTACCTTTGTTGGGCCCCCCAGGAATTGATGGAACACACCAGGTTTTTTTTTTTTTTTTTTCTAATTGAGACAGAGTTTCACTCTTGTTACCCAGAATGGAGTGCATTGGCACAATCTCAGCTCACTGCAACCTCTGCCCCGCCAGGTTCAAGCAATTCTCCTGCCTCAGCCTCCTCAGTAGCTGGGATTACATGTGCTTGCCACCATGCCTGGCTAATTTTTGGTATTTTTAGTAGAGATGGGGTTTAAACCACATTGGTCGGTCAGGCTGATCTTGAATTCCTGACCTCAGGTGATCCACCTGCCTTTGCCTCCCAAAGTACTGGGATTACTGGATTGAGCCACCTCTCCCGGTCAGCTTTTTAACATTAAACTAATCTTTTGGATGTTAGGCGTCCTGATACTTTAAGTATGTTGAGTATACGTTCAGATATAGAATTTGAGTTGTAGGCCAGGCATGATGGCTCAGGCCTGTAATCATGAGGTAAGGAGTTCGAGACCAGCCTGGCCAACAGATGAAACCTCATCTCTAATAAAAATACACACACAAAAAAAAGTTAGCCAGATGTGGTGGTGTGTGGCTGTAATCTCAGCTACTCGGGATGCTGAGGCAGGAGAATTGCTTGAACCCAGGAGGCAGAGGCTGCAGTGAGCCAAGATCATGCCACTGCACGCCTGCCTGGGTGACAGAGCAAGATTCTGTCACAAAAGAAGAAGAAGAGGAAGAAAAAAGAAGAGGAAGAAGAAGAAGAAGAAGAAGAAGAAGAAGAAAGACCATTAGTCCTTCTGCCTCCCATAAAGATTTAAGGGAATCATGTCTCTCAGGGGAAAAGAGGCAGGAGAATAGGGTCTGGAGGCAAGAAACCTAAAGGAAATTTATGCTAACTTCCTAGAACTAAATCAAAAGGAAAACCCCAACTTTCCACGCCCAAATAACAAAAGGATCACAGGCTACTCCCTTTGCAACGCTACCTTTTCTGCATGGCAGATGAAAAATTGAAAGTACCTTGATTGGTCCCCTCCTGAAACCAAACCAATCAGATTGATTGTGGGCCACTATTTTATTTATATAGGGTGTACACCAAGTAACCAATGAATTGGTCGAGAGGGTATTTAAACCCCAGAAAATTCTGTAACTGGGCTCCTGAGCTGCTTGCTAGGGCCCGCTCTCACCCTGTGGGGTGTACTTTTTGTTTTAAACAAATCTCTGCTTTTGTTGCTTCATTCTTTCCTTGCTTTGTTTGTGCGTTTAGTCCAATTCTTTGTTCAAGACGCCTAGAACGTGGACACCCTCCACCGGTAACATTATGGTCTGTTTCAACATTAATGCTGGTCAGCTGTGCCTGAATTCCAAAGGGAGGAGAGTATAATGAGCCATGTCTGACCACCTTTCTCCCATTGTGGCCTGAATTACTGTTTCAAGTTTACTTTAGAATGTCCTTGGCCAAGAGGAGGGATCCATTCAGTTGGCTGAGGGGCTTAGAGGTTTTTTTTTTTGGAGATGGAGGTTTGTTCTTATCACCCAGACTGGAGTGGAATGATGAGATCTCGGCTTACTGCCTCCTGGGTTCAAGTGATTCTCCTGCCTCACCCTCCCAAGTAGCTGGGATTATAGGAGCCCACCACCATGCTCAGCTAATTTTTGTATTATTAGTTGAGACAGGTTTCACCGTTTTGGCCAGGCTGGTCTCGAACTCCTGACCTCAGGTGATCTACTCGCCTCGGCCTCCCAAAGGGCTGGTATTACAGGCTAGAGCCACCGCACCCGGCGATGGGCTTAGAGGTTTTTTGCTTGTTGGTTTTATGGTTTACACCAGGAATATAGAGGTATTTCCTTCACCTTGAAAAAGAGCATTGACAAAACTCCCACAACTAACATCATACTTCCTGGTGAGAGACTGAATGTGTTTCCCTTAAAACAGGGAACAAGGGCCTGGCACAGTGGTTCACACCTGTAATCCCAGCACTTTGGGAAGCCAAGGTGGGTGGATTACCAGGTCAGGAGTTCAAGACCAGCCTGGCCAAGATGGTGAAACCCCCATCTCTACTAAAAATACAAAAATTAGCCAGGTGTGGTGGCTGGCGCCTATAATCCCAGCTACATGAGAGGCTGAGATGGAGATTTACTTGAACTTGGGAGGGGGAGGTCGCAGTGAGCCGAGATCACGCCACTGCACTCCAGCCTGGGTGAGAGAGTGAGACTCTATCTCAAGGGAAAAAAAAAAAAAACCCAAAACAAAACAGAACAAGGTAAGGATGTCTAATGTTATTATTTTTATTTAATGGAAGTCTGTACAATAAGGAAAAAAAAGAAATAAAAAGCAGTCAGCTTAGAAAGAAATAATAATAATAAAAAAACTCCCTATTTGCAGATGAAATTACATAAAAAATCCCAACGAATGTATACAAAAACCCCCTAAAATTAGTAAGGGTGTTAAGCAAGATGGCAGGTTACAAGATCCACACACAAAACCAGTTATTCAGAATGCAGCACAGAGAGACAAAAAGTTGGAAAATACAGACGGTAAGTTAAAAATAAAGGCTTCTTGTGTTCGAATTCCAGAAGGAGAGAGAAAATGAGACAGGCATCTGAAGAAAAATGACTGCAATTTCCCAAAACGGGTGGAAGATACCAACCCACAGATTATAGAAATCTAAAGACTTCCAAGCAAGACACAAAAGAAAAAAATATCCCACTTAGATTTATGATAGTGAAATCGCAGAACAGTGAAAGATGGAGAGCTGAGGTGGGAGAAGTCAAGGGCCAAGTGAAACGATTTACACCTTGGACTTAACAATAAAGGCAAATTTGTACGTGCACAGTTTAGTACCTGCCAAACCCCTTACACACATTAGGTGATTTACTCCTTACAGCAACTGTATTAGGTAGATTCTATTACGTCTCTCTCCCTTTTCTTTCTTTCTCTCTCTCTTTCTTTTCTTTCTTTCTTCTTTCTTTCTTTTTCTTTCTCTCTCTCTCTTTCTCTCTCTCTCTCTCTCTCTCTCCCTCTCTCTCTCTCTCCCTCTTTCTTTTCCTTTCTTTCTGTCTCTCTGTCTCTTTCTCTCTCTCTTTCGATGGGAGTTTCACTCTTGTTGCCCAGGCTGGAGTGTGATGGTGCGATCTCAGCTCACTGCAACCTCCACTTCCCAGATTCAAGCAATTCTCCTGCCTCAGGCTCCCGAGTAGCTGGGATTACAGGCATGCGCCACCACGCCTGGCTAATTTTTTTATTTTTTAGTAGAGACCGGGTTTCACCATGTTGGCAAGGCTGGTTTAGAACTCCTGACCTCAGGTGATCCACCCGCCTTGGCCTCCCAAAGTGCTGGGATTACAGGTGTGAGCCACCGCGCCCCGCCTACTGCTTTCATTCTACAGATGAGGGAGTTGAGATTTGGTTACTTGCCCAAAAGGGCACACTTTATCCGTGTAGAGGTAGGATTTTTAACAAGGTAGTTCTTGCTCTAGTTTTGTGCCCCTAACCACTACACATATTTGTCTCTCCAAAGGGCAATGGGAAAATGGGAAGGCATTGAAAGACTTTAAACTGGGGAGTGATAACATTTGTTTTTGGCAGATCCCGGCACCACTGTGGGTAGTGAATTCAATGGGGCTAAGGGTGGAAATAAAGAAACTGTTGGAATAGCGTAACTCCAAACAGGGATGGCCTGAATGACCTCGGGAGGTGGCAGAAGGGGTAGACACAAGCAAATGGACTTGCGAGCTCTTCCGGAACCGAGTCCATAGGGGTTGACCTGGGATCACGTTTAACTCCGGGTGGAGAGTGAGGATGATAACCCGGTTTCTGACGCGGACAATTCGGTGGATAGTGAAAGTCATTCACGAGGTGGAATGAGGTGGGGCGCACAGGGGGCTTGGAGGCCTGAAGGCGAGCTCGGCTTTGGACACGGTAGATTTGCGGCTTCTGTAAAGCCGGCGGCCAGCCGAGGGGCAAGAAACGGCGCAAAGGGCCGAGACCAGAGGCCAGGTCTGTGGAGCTCTCAGAGCAGGATCTTCGAGAGTCCACGCCGGAGCGCGACGCTGCGTGCGTTTCCGGAAGCCGCGCGCGCAGGCGCAGTGCGGGGGGCGCCCCCTGGCGGCGCAGGGACCGCCCCCAGCCTCGCGCCGCCGCCGCCCGCCTCAGCCCAACATGGCGATGCACAACAAGGCGGCGCCGCCGCAGATCCCAGACACCCGGCGGGAGCTGGCGGAGCTCGTGAAGCGGAAGCAGGAGTTGGCGGTGAGGGGTTGGGACCGGGGTTGCCAGGCATGGGGCCCGGCTCCTGCGCTGCCTCCAGGCCCCGAGCCTGGCCGCGCCCGGCCGTTCATTATTCCGGGGGCGCGCCGCGGTGGGCCGGGAGCTCGGCGGCCTGAGGCCGCCGGCAGTTCGGCTTCCGGGCTGTGCGAATCCGGAGCGGGGAGGGAGCCAGGAGCCCGGAGCGCGGGAGGGGGAGGGGCACCGGCAGCCGCAGGAGGGGGCGTGGAGGGAGGATGGTGCCGGGGCCCTGGGCTCCGGCGCTAGGAAGGGCGAGCGTCCGTGAGCCGCGGTGCTGGGCGAGGCGGGCGAGTCCGTGATCTTTGCGGGGTGTGGGGTGGGGAGGGAGGCAGGACTGGGAGGGGGTTCTAGTCACCCTGTCTGGACTTTAGAGGATGGTGGGGAGCGTGTTCTTTTTGGCTCTAGGAGTAGATCCGTTGAATGGAGGTTTTTGATAGACAAGGATGTGATGTGTTTGGGAGCATCTAGAAGGTGACAGGCGAGGGAAAAAACATATTTTGGAGAATTCGCAATTGTGACAGGCACCCAGGATCCCGTGCACCCTGGTGGCTAAGCTCTTCCTGCCCTCGCGTCTCAGCTTGAGCACCCGGGAGGCCCCTCTCACCTGAAGCTGCCTTTCCAGGTTTCCATAGCAACTGGCAGTCCAGTGCCGGCGGCCTCTTTGAGCCTGCGAGAGGGGAGCAGGGGAGGGGGTTGACGCTGAAAGGCTGCTCACCCTCCCCTCCTCTGGTAGCTATACCTTTTGTGCGTGGGAGTGGGTATTGCGCAAGTTCTGCCTTAGCCTGGGTTCTTGACTCCGGATTTCTGTGAACCCTCTGAAGTTTATGCAACATTTCGCGTGTGTGTTTTTCTGGGGACATGCTTTATACATTCAGGGGTCCATCATCCCTAAAGGTCTAGACTGGCTTAGTCCTAATCGTCCTGCCCGTCCCTGTATCATCCATCTCTCCACAAGGATAGTGTGGGCAAGCTTGCGTTTACAAATCTAATATCAGGATTTCATTTGGGTTAAGACTTAAGTGTTTGCATTTACAAGGCATTATTCATGTCCCTGTTTTTCATCTCTCAGGAAACACTAGCAAACTTGGAGCGACAGATCTATGCTTTTGAGGGAAGCTACCTGGAAGACACACAGATGTATGGCAATATTATTCGTGGCTGGGATCGGTATCTGACCAATCAAAAGTGAGTGTCGGAAGCCAGTAGTGTTCCTATTGTGCTTTAGTAACTTTGGTTTGCAGGGCTGGATGCCCTTAGTAGCAACTTTGCTGGAGGCAGTAGTAAAGTGGTGGTGTGGTCTGGACTTGAACTCTTGGACTCTGGCTCAGGCCCTGCCTCACTGAATAATCTTAGACAAAGCTCACATCTGTAAAATAGGAAAAGTGGGCCTATGGCACAGAGTGGTTGTGTGAGGCTTAAATGAAGTATAGCATATGACAGTATTTTACACAGCAGCACTCTATTACATTTTTTACACGTTTTAATCAGTCGTCAGTTCTACCCTCACAGTATTTTTCTTTTCTTTTTTCTTTTTCCTCCTGAGTAGCTGGGAATTACAGGTGCATGCCACCATGCCTGGCTAATTTTTTAATTTTTAGTAGAGATGGGTGTCTCCATGTTGGCCAGGCTGGTCTCGAACTCCTGACCTCAGGGGATCCACCTGCCTCAGCCTCCCAAAGAGCTGGGATTACAGGTATAAGCCACTGCGCTCGGCTAAAAGTTCATTTTTTCCCATTGTGATTAACAAGTAATTTTGGATGCTACATTTTCAGATGTTATGAATATACTGCTCCCTCTAAATTTGTATTCAGTTGTTAGGCATACACTGTTGATGCTTATCTGTATCCATTATTACACTGGAAGTTGTAAAATGGTGGTTCTCTAATTTTATTATTCCCTTTATATATTTATTACCGGAATTCTGAAGAGGAATCTTCCTTTTTTGTCTTCTTTTCCTTTCATTCTCCCACATTGGCCCCTAATGTGGTCAGAGGGAGCCTCCTCAAGCTGGTTTGTTTGTCATTTTGACATGACCCTTTTACTTTTTGAGCATTCCATTGCTTTCTGGCCCAAAAGATATCCCATATTTACCTTGTGCATTTTCTGTCCCAGACCTGGTATCAGCCATTCCTCTTAGGAACCCTGGTTCTTTCTTTAAATTTGAGAATTAAGTTTATGTAAGAGACACTTCATATCACTCATCTGTTCTAGACTTTTAAAATAATAAACATTAAAATAAATACATATGGGCTGGGCACAGTGGCTCACGCCTAGAATCTCAGGCTGAGGCGGGCAGATCACCTGAGATCAGGAGTTCAAGACCAGCCTGGCCAAGAAGGCAAAACCCCATCTCTACTAAAAATACAAAAATTGGCTGGGTGTGGTGGCTCACGCTACCTTTAATCCTAGCACTTTGGGAGGCCGAGGCGGGTGGATCACCTGAGATTGGGAGTTCGAGACCAGCTTGACCAACATGGAGAAACCTTGTCTGTACTAAAAATATAAAATTAGCCGGGCATGGTGGCGCATGCCTGTAATCCCAACTACTCAGGAGGCTGAGGCAGGAGAATCACTTGAACCCAGGAGGTGGAGGTTGTGGTGAGCGGAGATCACACCATTGTACTCCAGCCTGGGCAACAAGAGTGAAATTTCGTCTCAAAGAAAAATAAATTAACCAGCCATGGTGGGGTGTACCTATAGTTCCAGCTACTCTAGAGGCTGAGGCAGGAGAATTACTTGAACCCAGAAAGTGGAGGTTGCAGTGACCTGAAATCACACCACTGTACTCCAGCCTGAGAGACAGAGTGAGATGCTGTCTCAAAAAGAAAAAAAAAAAAAATAAGGCCAGGTGCAATGGCTCATTCCTATAATCCAAGCACTTTGAGAAGGCCAAGATGAGTGGATTATGAGGTCAGCAGTTAAAGACCAGTCTGGCCAACATGGTGAAACCTGTCTCTACTAGAGATAAAAAAAATTAGCTGGGTGTGGTGGCATGCACCTGTAATCCCAGGTACTTGGGAGGCTGAGGCAGGAGAATTGCTTGAATCCGGGAGGCGGAGGTTGCAGTGAGCCGAGATTTCATCACTGCACTCCATCCTGGGTGACAGGGTGAGATTGTCTCAAAAAAAAAAAAAAAAAAGGCTGGGCATGGTGGCTCATGCCTGTAATCTCAGCATTTTAGGAGACCGAGGTAAGTGGGTCACCTGAGGTTAGGAGTTCGAGACCAGCCTGGCCAGCATGGCAAAACCCTGTCTCTACTAAAAATACAAAAATGAACTGGGCATGGTGGCGGAGGTTGCAGTGAGCCAAGATTGTGCCACTGCACTCCAGCCTGGGTGACAGGGCATGGTGGCAGGCACCTGTAGTCCTAGCTACTTGAGAGCCTGAGGCAGGAAAATCACTTGAACCCGGGATGCAGAGATTGCAATGAGCTGAGATTATGCCATTGCACTCCAGCCTGGACAACAGCGCAAGACTTTGTCATACATACATACATACATAAAATGAACATGTGAGAGCAAGACTTCGTCGTACATACATATATACATAAAATGAACATGTGAAGCAATTAAATCTCACGTCCCACAGTGGGGCATATACCATATATTGGAAAACATTGTTTTCTGTGTTCAGCATAAAGGCCATTTGGGCCATTCTAAGTGATATGGAGGCTTCCTGTATGGAACATGAGTCCTGCTTGAGCCATAGACATAGCTTGGTGCTCATAATGAGTTTCTTTTGTGTGTTTTAGAAACTCCAATAGCAAAAATGATCGAAGGAACCGGAAGTTTAAGGAAGCTGAGCGGCTCTTCAGTAAATCCTCAGTTACCTCAGCAGCTGTAAGTGGTGGTGGTGGGGGAATATTTCTGTGGGCTGTTGTTGGGGAATGTGAGTTTTCTCTTTCCCTTCCTCTGGGAATGCTCTTCTGAGGTCTGTGGTCACTTTTCTAGTAACTGGTGGCTTTTCTTTTAGGCAGTAAGTGCATTGGCAGGAGTTCAGGACCCGCTCATTGAAAAGAGTAAGTTTATGTTTTTATGTTTCTCATCAGTTTATTTTTAAGCTACCATAGCCCTTATATTTAATTCATCTGGTTGTGTATCTGAGGACTGCATTTCTTATGCTCTTCCCTCTTTTTCCTAGAAGTTATTAAACTTTTAGGGTATCCTTAATCATGTTTTCTCCGCTTCCCCATTTCAGACAAGATCTTACTCTGTAGCCCAAGCTCTGGAGTACAGTGACATGATCATAGCTCACTGCAGCCTCAAACTCCTAGGCTCAAGCAGTCCTCCTGCCTCAGCCTCCTAGGTAGCTAGGACCACAGGCATCTGCCACCACACCTGGCTAATTTTTCAATATAAAAGAGACAAGGTCTCTTTTTTATATTAAAAATTTTTTTTTATTTTAAATTTTTAAAGAGACAAGGTCTCAACTATGTTGCCCAGACTAGTCTAGAATTCCTGGCATTAAATAATCCTCGAACTTAAGCATCCCTAAGTGTTGGGATTACAGGTGTGAGCCACCATGAGTGACCAATCATATTTTTTCCTTTTGAGGAAGAAATTACGCAGCCCTTCCTGCCTCTTCTGTCACATAAAGATTGGCTTTTGCATCTCAAAGGTGCAAAGCTATATTTTTATTCCTGGTAAAGCTTAAAACTTCTTAGGGAATTAAAATTAAAACGATAACTTTTATGGAAAATTTCAATTATATCTTAAAAATCCTCAAGTACCCATGCACCCAGTTTAATAATTCTTAGAAAATGCTCATCTTGGCCCAATGCAGTGGCTCACACCTATAATCCCAACACTTTGAAATGCAGAGGTGGGAGGATCGCTTGAGCCCAGAAGTTCAAGACCAGCCTAGGTGACAAAGCAAGACCCTGTCTCTACAAAAAACTAAGAAATTAACCAGGCTTGGTGGCATGTGCCTGTACTCCCAGCTATTAGAGAAGCTGAGATGAGAGGATCGCTTTAGCCCAGGAAGTTGATACAGTGAGCCATGATCATGTCACTGATCCAGCCTGGGTGACAAAGTGAGACCATGTCAAAAAAAAGAAAAGAAAAGAAATGGTCCTTCTGTAAATAGGATGTACCTGTCTGTTCTTAAATATAAAATGGAAAATGGAGAGACAGTACCACTTACTTTGTAAATTAATTCTGTCTTAACATTTTTTGTATGTAAGCCATACAGTCTGATTTCCAGTGATGGGTTATAGATTTGTGCATTTATCTTTCTGAGTCAGACTCAGTGTAGCTGTATTGGATGTTCTCTGTGTATTTCATCATGTTGAAATACAGCCTGTTCTCGGTATTACTGTGTACTTCTTTTCAGATGGTATATCTTGTTGCTGGATCTAGTTCTTTTGTTTGCATTGGTGCAATGATATGAGGAAAAGGGATTTTAGTAGTTTGGAAATTAGAAGTACTTAATCATTATCTCTATGTACAGATTTCTAAATTTTTGGCTCTGCCCTCAGCCTTTTTCCTGGCTTTAATCCTGCATTTCCTTTTTTTTTTTTTTTTTTTTTTTTTGAGATGGAATCTCACTCTGTTGTCCAAGCTGAAGTGCAGTGGCATGATATCAGCTCACTGCAACCTCCAACTCCTGGGTTCAGGCAATTCTGCTTCAGCCTCCCAAGTAGCTGGGACTACAGGTGCACGCCACCATGCCCAGCTGATTTTTGTATTTTTAGTAGAGACGGAGTTTCATCATGTTGGCCAGGCTGGTCTCCATCTCCTGACCTCAGGTGATCCACCCGCCTCAGCCTTCCAAAGTGCTGAGATTATGGGCGTGAGCCACCACGCCCAGCCTTAAGCCTGCATTTCCTTCTAGACATTTCCACTCATACCCACTTGAACATTTCTTTTTTTTTTTTTTGAGACAGAGTTTCACTCTTGTTGCCCAGGCTAAAGTGTAATGGGGTAATCTCGACCCACCACAACCTCTGCCTCCTGGGTTCAAGCGATTCTCTTGTTTCAGCCTCCTGAGTAGCTGGGATTACAGGCACATGCCACCATGCCCAGCTAATTTTTATATTTTTAGTAGAGACGGGGTTTCACCATGTTGGCCAGCCTGGCCTCGAACCCCTGACCTCAGGTGATCCACCAACCTTGGCCTCCCAAAGTGCTGGGATTACAGGTGTGAGCCACTGTGCCCAGCCCAGACATTTTATTTAAAACAGAATTGTTCTATTTCCTTCAGAATTTGTCTTCACAGATTTTTCGTGATGGTACTTCACTTTTCCCTCGCTCATAACTCTGTACGTGTCTTTGACTCCTTTCTGCCAGCCTCGTCAGCTATACCAAGTCCTTTTGATTTTTCTTTTACTATGACTGTCTACTAAATCTTCTTTTTAATTAATGCCACTTCTAGAATGTAGAGCTATATCATATTTTTTGTAGAGGAATAAAACTAGTTAAGGAACACCCTGGACCTCGCTCCTATGAGTTGAGATGGAATGTTATCTGACTTACTTTGACTTAGTTTTCTTATTTTTTTTTGGAGATGGTGTTTTGTTCTTGTCACCCAGGCTGGAGTGCAATGGCTCAATCTTAGCTCTTTGCAACCTCCTCCTCCTGGATTCAAGCAATTCTCTTGCCTCAGCTTCCCAAGTAGCTAGGATTACAGGCGTGCGCCACCACATTGGCTAATTTTTGAATTATTAGTAGAGATGGGGTCTCACCATGTTGGCCAGGCTGGTCTTGAACTCCTGACGTCAGGTGATCCACCTGCTTCACCTCCCAAATTGCTGGGATTACAGGCGTGAGCCACTGGGCCTGGCCTTGATTTAGTTTTCACAAGAGCCTGTAATCCCACCTTGGTTTAACCGATCATTCAGTATATGGCTATTTACCTGCCTACCTGCAAGAATAACTGTACTTAGATACTTGTCAGGAAAAGAATCAAAGTTACTGCTTTCAGAAGCTTGACTGAGATAAACGCTTATGTACTGAATATTTTTGGCTGAGCACAGTGGCTGGCTTATACCTGTAATCCCAGAATTTGCGAAGCCAATAGTCTCAGCTACTCAGGAAGCTGAGGTGGGAGGATTGCTTGAGCCCAGGAGTTCAAGGCTGTAGTGAGCCATGACACTGTAGCCTGGGTGATAGAGTGAGACCTTGTCAGAACAAAACAAAACAAAATCCTAAAAAGGCTGGCGAGGTGGCTCATACCTCAGAACTTTGGGAAGCCAAGGTGAGAGGATCTCCTGAGCCCAGGAGTTCACGACCAGACTAGGGAACATAGTGAGACCCTATCTCTACCAAAAACAAAACAAAAATTAGCTGGATGTGGTGGCACACACCCTGTAGTCCCAATGACTCAGGAGGCTGAGGCAGAAGGATCAGTTGAACCCACTAGATCAAGGCTGCAGTGATTGTGCCTGCATTCTAGCCTGGGTGACAGTAAGACCCTATCTCAAAAAAATAAAAATTATAGTTCTCCTTATGTATTTTTTCTTTTGTTAGATTTGCTTTTGTGGTCATATCTGAGAAACTATTGCCTAACCCGGTGGCATTTAAGATTTTTTTTTTGAGACAGAGTCTCGCTCTGTTGCCCAGGCTAGAATGCAGTGGTACAATCTTGGCTTACCACAACCTCCGCCTCCTGGGTTCAAGTGGTTCTCCTGTCTCAGCCACCCGAGTAGCTGGGACTATAGGCGCTCGCCACCATGCCTGGCTAATTTTTGTATTTTTAGTAGAGATGGAGTTTCACTATGTTGGCCAGGCTGGTCTCAAACTCCTGACCTCATAATCATCTCACTTTGGCCTCCCAAAGGGCTGGGATTACAGGCGTGAGCCACCACACCCGGCCTGGCATCAAAGATTTTTAATTTTAGCTCCTACATTTATGTCTGTGATCCATTTTGAGTTAATTTTTGTGTATAGTGGGAGACAGTGATACAGCTTCATTCTTTTGCATGTGAATATCTAGTTGTTCCAGCACCATTTGTTGAAAAGACTTCTTTCTTCATTGAATTGTCTTGTCATCCTTGTTGAAAATCAGTTGACTGTAAATATAAGGGTTCATCCTGGGACTCAGAATTCTAGTCCCTTGATTTATATATTTATCCTTATGCCAGTACCACACAGTGTTGATTACTGCAGATTTGTGTAGTATGTTGTTTTTTAATGTGAAGTCAGTTTTCTTGAACATCAGAAGGGCAGGATTGTCTGTCAGTATATTTTTTCTGTAATAGCTTCATAGCTCTAGGCAGGGATGTCCGGTCTTTGGCTTCTCTGGGCCACATTGGAAAAAGAGTTGTCTAGGGCCACACATAAAATACACTAACACTGGCCAGGCACCGTGACTCATGCTTGTAATCCCAGTACTTTGGGAGGTGGAGGCTGGCAGATCACCTGAGATTGGGAGTTCGAGACCAGCCTGGCCAACATGGTGAAACCCCATCTCTACTAAAAATATAAAAAATTAGCTGGGTGTGGTGACGGGCGCTTGTAATCCCAGCTACTCGGGAGGCTGAGTCAGGAGAATCCCTTGAAACTGGAATGTGAAGGTTGTGGTGAGCAGAAATCATGCCATTGCACTCCAGCCTGGGCAACAGGAGCTAAACTGTCTCAAAAAATCAGTCAATCAATCAATCAATAAAATGCACTAACACTAACTATAGCTGATGAGCTAAAAAAAAAAATCTCATAATGTTTTACGAAAGTGTACACATTTTTGCTGGACTGCATTCAAAGCCGTCCTGGGCTGCATGAGGCCCATAGGCCTTGGGTGGGACAAACATGCTCTAGAGTTTCCTTTTCTGTTATTTTCCTAAAATGCGTTCAAAAATAGGTTCAAGGCCGTGCGCAGTGGCTCACGCCTTCAACATTTAGGATCCTTCAACATTTGAATAAAGTGAAAGTCTTCCCTTACTCATCTTTATCTATTAAGAGTTTAGCCGGATGCTGTGGCTCACGCCTGTCATCCCAGCACTTTGGGAGGCCAAGGCTGGTGGATCACGAGGTCAAGAGATCGAGACCATCTGGTCAACATGGTGAAACTCATCTCTACTAAAAATACAAAAATTAGCTGGGCATGGTGGTGCATGCCTGTAGTCCCAGCTACTCGGGAGGCTGAGGCAGGAGAATTGCTTGAACCCAGGAGGTAGAGGTTGCGGTGGGCCGAGATTGTGCCATTGCGCTTCAGCCTGGGTAGTAAGAGTGAAACTCTATCTCAAAAAAAAAATAAAAATAAAAATAAAGTTCAAAAATAGGGTTTCATAATTTCTAAGATTTGGCTATTTCTCTCTTCTGCTTTTTGGGGATTGTCTCTTTCCTTTATTTCATATACCCATATGCTACTCAATTTAAAATCTCTTCCCCGCAGATTATAATATAAAGACCATAGACAGAAGAAAACTGAGCCAGGTGTGGTGGCTCATGCCTGTAATCCCAGAACTTTGGGAGGCCGAGGCAGGTGGATCACCTGAAGTGGGAGTTCCAGACCAGCCTGGCAAACATGGCAAAACCCCATCTCTACTAAAAATACAAAAATGAGCTGGGTGTGGTGGCATGTGCCTGTAATCCTAGCTGCTCTGGAAGCTGAGGCAGGGGAATCGTTTGAACCTGGGAGGTGGAGTTTGTAGTGAGCCAAGATTGCATCACTGCTCTCTAGCCAGGGTGCAACAGCAAGACTCCATCTCAAAAAAAAAAAAAAAAAAAAAAA